GGGCACCTCTGGGCAGTCAACTTTTCAGCGAGAAGCCGAACACATCGCCCACTTGCACTGCCCAGGGACTCTGTCCCCTAGAGAGCGAGGCACAAAAGAGACCCTCGGAGACTATTGCAGAGACGGGAGGCCTGGGCGAGACACGCATGGGGTCTGCCTGCTCCAGGCCCCCTGCTGTGACCCTCTCTCTTCCCTCAGGCCCAGGATCCCTGGAAAACTCAGCCCCGAGGCCTCCAGGGCCCCTGACCCTCCTCTCTGCCCTGAGCTGGCTGTGGTGGAGGATGTAGGAGGGAGCCCGTGCAGCTGGTCTCCCCGTGCCGGGGGCCTCAGGCCGAGAGGAAGACAGGAGCAAGCGCTGTGGGTCTCCAGGGGGTGGAAGAGCTCTCGGCCACCAGGGAAGACGAGAGGAAGAGGAGGAGGAGGAGGAGGAGAGGTCTTTAGAGAACCCATCACTGTGAGGGATAACACAAAATTATGCATCTTTCTACAGCCATTCTCGCCACCCGTTCACGTTTCCGATTGTGACCCACCCCCGGCCACCCCACACCCCTCTCTTAGCTCAGGCTGTCAACTGGATCGCTCGCGTGCACGTGTGTGTGTGCGTGTGCGTGTGCATGCATGTGCGTGTGCATGTGTGTGTCTGTGTGTGTCTGTGTGGTAGGGAAGGGGCTCACCAGGCCTCCCTCCCCGACACCTCTATGGCCACTGTCCCATCCTGCTGCCTCTCACCTCTGCTGGAGGTAGGTATGGGGGCTCTATGGTGGTCACTGTGGAGAGGGTTGTCCAGGCTCCCTGCCTTCCCGGTATATGCACGCACACCGACCCCCGCTTCCCGCCTGTTGAAAGGGTGGTCCCTGGGCAGGTTGGTGGGGGGGAGGGGTGCCACACTCACCTGTCAAGCCTGTGTGAAAGGCGGGAGGTCCTCGTACTGACACCCTCATATTGGCTGCCTCTACGCGGGAAGACCCATAGCAAGCTTAGTGGCCTGAGACCCTCCCACGTGTCCCGCACCCCACCCCGGACTTTCTGGCCCCCTCCTGGGCCAATCGGTGCTTCCATCTGACTGTCAGGCTCGTGGCTGTAGTCACCTGCCTGTCTCAGTGCTTTGCCCTACCGCCACCACACTCCCCTCGGCCACCCGCAGTGCCAGCCAGCTGCCCTCAGAACCCTTGTGGCTTGCTGGTCTCCAAGTTCCTGGCCTTCCTGCTGACAGTACCGTGCAAAGGCTGTCCTGCCCGACTTCGCACACACTCAGACACACACACACACACCAGCGACTGTGACCAGCAATAGCCCCCTGGCCCCAGCTGTCCCAAAGCTGGTGACCAGCCGTAGTTTCCCCCAAGGGTGGGCGATTCTTGTCCCATCAAGTGGCTCTGCGAGGCTGCAGCCCCATCTCTGATTGTAGGAATACGCCTCCCTGGTGCACACCAGAGTGGGGGACAGAGAGGCAGCACCCGGACACCCAGAGCCCAGACAAAGATGCCACACCACCAGCCCTGACTCCTGGGAGACCCTTGATACGCACCCCCCCAAACCACACCCCCCCCCCCAGAGCTTGGTGGGGAAGAGGGCGGCGTAGGGGCAGGAATACAAGGGGCAGTGACTGTACCTCAGACAGGGGCGTGGGCCCCATCCCACATTGTCTTCCATTCCCAGGGTCCGGGGATGGGGAGGGGAGGGGGCGGAACCTGAGGGAGGGGGCGGGGGGCCCTGGGGGCCGTGTGTTCCGATTCATGGGGAGTGTTGAGACCACCCACCAATAAACGCCTTTTTCCAAGTCTCTGCCTGCAGGTGTCGGTGTCTTTAAGGGTTTGGGTGAGGCGCAGGAAGAGGGGGTACACTGGGTGGTACCTCCCCCGGCATCATTCCTTCCCTCTTCTTTCCCTCTGGTGGGTTTGCAATTGACCCCAGTTCCTGAGGCGAGCCCCTGACAGGCTTAACCCCCTCAGCACAGTCCAGTGTGACTGCTGCGCCGGAGATGGGCACACGACCCAGCCAGGCTAGTCATGGGAGAGAGTGAATCCCGGAGCACTTGTTCACTGCTTAACATACTCAGCTTGTGAGGTCCGGATCGGGGAGAAGAGTGCTTGAGGAGACAACGGGTGGTCCCTGAGTATTACAGACCATGGAATGCAGAGTGGAGGGTCCACAGAAACTTGAGTCCATGATGACATCATTTCAGCAGCTAGATCAAAACTCACCTGATGCCTATCTTTTCTTACATACGCTAAATGAGTCCCTTTCATATTTAAGCCTAGGAGCTCTGGTGGTGCAGTGCCTAAGGCATTTGACTGCTAAGCAGAAGGTCGGTGGTTCAAACCCACCAGCTGCTCTGCAGAAAGAAGATGGGGTGATCTACTTCCATAAACATTTACAGCCTTGGAAACCCAATGGGGTTGCAATGAGTCCGAACTGACTCAATGGCAGTGGGTTTGGTAGATACAGGTACAGCTAGATAGATTCCAGCGTAGGAGCCGTGGTGGTGCACACACAGTTAAGCTCTTGGATGCTAACTGAAAGGTTGGCGGTTTGAACACACCCAGCGGCTCCAAGGGGGAAAGAGCTAGCTGGCCACCTGCTCCTGCAAAGTTACAGCCAAGAAACCTTACAGAGCAGTTCCACTGTCACATGTTGCGGGCAGTGGATTCCTTGGTCTGGCTCTTCCAGCCACGGTCCTTGTGCCTTCCACCAGATGACTGGTGGGAGGGGGCTATGCAAATGTGAGGTGCTTGTGGCCCACCGAGGGGACTGGAGAGATTGCTAATAATGTAAATGAGATGCATGATATGAGGGTAGAGCCATGCAAATAAGGTATGGAGCCCTAATGTGGGGACTGGTCAGTTTTGCCATCTCAGATGAGCCATCCCCGAGGTGGAAAGGGGGGATCCCACATCATCAAGAGAGAAGAGCCGGGAGTGGAGTGCATCCTCGGACCCAAGGTCCCTGCGCTGAGATGGTAGCAGCAGAACCGAGACACGAGCATAAAACAGAACGATGGGTTTGCCGGTCCACGCAGCAAGAAAGCTGAATGCATGTGGGCAGGAGGCTTGTTGGTGGAGTGGGGTGGGGTGTACCTATCAGCAGAGCTATAACAATCACACAAACAGGGCAGAGGTCAGGCCCAGAGACTACGGGTCAAAGAGAGGGATCCCTGTGGACATGGCTGACGGGGGGCTGTCCTGGTCGAAGAATTGTATCCTGCATGTTCCTGAACCTGAATTGTCACCTATTCCTTCTATAATAAACACCATAGTCGTGAGTATGGTCTGCGAGTTCTGTGTGACCACTGCAACGAATTATCAGACCCAGGAGAGAAGCAGAGAGTGTTGTGGGAGGGACGGTTGGTGTCAGAAATGGTGAAAAGGTTGGAAGGCAACAGCATGTATGACTCCACCTCGTGGGAATCAGCCTGGGATGTCCCTCTCCATCCTCTCTCCCCCTTGTGATGGGAGAGGCCCTCCAGTGAAGCCGCCCCCTTGCCCTCTTTGCACATGGGGTGGCTATGCATCAGAATCAACTCAATGGAACCTAACCATAAAATATCTAAACCAACTTGTGTTGGATTATCTGTCCATGAAACCAAAATGAAAGTCATTGCTATTGGTCGGCCCTGACTCATAGCGACCCCTCCTTGGGTTCCCGAGGCAGTATCACTACGGAAGCAGATTGCCCAATTTTCCTTCCAAGGAGTGGCTGGTGGGTTTGAACAGCCAGCCTTCTGGTTAGCAGGCAAATCCCTTAGGCACTACACTACCAGAGCTCCCTATCTGTCCCTAGAGATTAAAACAACAACAACAACAAAAAAAAAAAAAACTAACTGATATGGAAGAAAAGACATAAAGGTTTCAAGAGTACCTGATCCCTTTTCCAAAACGATGCAGGGGCCCTCATCTACCCCAAACTTTAACCAGAATTCCACACATCCTTTCCTCCCTAGAGGCAGACACCACTTGTTTATATTTTATTTGATTCCCCTTAACTGGCCAATTGATTGATCTCCCATGGTACAGACTGAGAAAGGTGGTTTTCCAGCCTCTCTTGCAGCTATGGGTCCAGTCCAGGCCAGTGAAAGATAAAGGGAAGTTTGCCAGTCAACTCCCAGGAGAGTGTTTCCCCTGAGACATGGGGGCAGGGAGAGAGGAGATGAAGAGAGACACAGAAGGAGAGAGTCAGAGAGAGAGACATGCAGAGAGGAACAAAGAGATGAGTGAGAAAGAAAAAGGAGGAGGAAGACACAGAGAGTTGGAGAGATGATGATAAAGGAAGCCAGAGAGAGAGAAAGAGAAAGCCCGGGGCAGGCAGAGAGATGTGGAGAGGGCCACGGAGTGGGCAGCAAGAAGGACAGAGTCAAGAAGAGAGCCCGAGATGCAGAAAGGAAGTCAGGGAGAGATGGAGCGAGAGATAAAGACACAGGAAGAGACACACACAGACGAGGAAGAGAGAGTAAAAGGTGGAAAGAGCCTGCTCACTCCCTTGTATCTCATGACACAATGGAATGCAGATGTGACGTTTGGAGCTACAGCAGCCGTCACGATGCAGCAAGCCTGGAGACAGCGTGCCAAGCCACTGAGGACTCCAGACCAGAAGGAGGCCATACAACGGACTGCTTTCATATGGCCTTCCTCACCATGGCCTTGGAACTCCCACCAAGTCAGTGGGTGAGTCTATGCAAATAAGGTGCTTGTGGCCCACCAGAGGGACTGAACAGCTTGTTGACTGTGCAAATATGGTGCACGGAACCCTGGTGGGGGTGTCACTGTTAGGTGCTGTCCAGTCGGTTCCGGCTCATAGTGACTGAATGAGATGCTGCCTGGTCCTGCACCGTCCTCACAGTTGCTGCAGGCTTGAGCCCATCGTTGCAACCACGACGTCATCCATCTCACTGAGGGTCTTCCTGTTGTTCACAGACCTTCTACTTCACCAAGCCCCATGTCCTTCTCCAGGGACTGGTTCCTCCTGAAATCACACAATCCTTGATTCCAGGAAGCATTCAGTCTGTCCTTCTTCCCAGACAGATTTGTTCACCCTTCTGGAAGTCAATGGGATATTTACTATTCTTCATTAGCACCACAATTCAAAGGCATCAACTCTTCAGACTTCCTTATTCATTGTCCAGCTTTCACATGTATATGAGGTAACTGAAAACACAGCTTGGGCCAGGTGCACTTTAGTGTTCAAAGGGACATCTTTGCTTTTCAACACTTTAAAGAGGTCTTTGGCAGCAGATTTGCTCAATGCAATAGTCACCGATTTTTTTATTTTTATTGTGATTCGGGTGAAAGTTTACAGAACAAATTCACTTTCCATACAGCCGCTCACATACACTTTGTCTCATGACATTGACTGCAGTTTCCCACAATGCAACAGCTCCCCTCCTACTTCCTCCCCATAGTTACCTGTTTCCTGGGTCCTTCCCTCCCATGCACTCCTGCCCCCCGAGCTGTCTCCTTGTGCATACAAAGCCCTTCTATTCTCCCACAATTGACCTCTCCAAGGAGTGTGTCTACCTAATGAGCTGTAAATGTTCAGCTCATATGCCTGTATTTTGTTTGGCTGGAAGCCACAGGAGCGGGTTCAATTCCAGACCTTAAGGGCAGCTGGGGGCCAGAGTCTTGGTGGTTCCACCAGGCTCTATCCGACCAGCAAACCTGGTCCTTTCTTTCCTTTTTTTTTTTTAAATGATTTTGAGTTTTGTTCCACATTGTTCTCCCTCTCTATCCAGGGTCTCCCACATAGATCCCCCTCTGAGTGGTTGACAGTGGTAGCCGGGCACCATCTAGTTCTTCTGGTCTCAGTCATATAGGCTGAGGATCACATGGTGTACCAGTCCCTTGGACTAATTGTTTCCATGCGTCTTTGGTTTTCTTTATTCTTCTTTGCTCTGGATGAGAAGAGGTCCATCATTGCATCTAGCTGGCCACTTGTAACCTTTTAAGATCCCAGTCACTACTTGCCAAAGTAGGGTGTGGAACAATGTTTTGTGTAGTATGTTATGCCAATTGAGCTTGATGTCCCCTGTGACTATGGTCCCGAGCCCACAGGTCCAACTGCTCGCTCCCTCTGGGTGGCCGGCTGTGGCCACGAAGTAACAGTGATTGGTTTCCCGACTGCTGCTTCCATGGGTGTTGATTGTGGATCCAAGTGAAACAAAATCCTTGACAAGTTCCATCTTCTCTCCATTTACCGTGATGTTGCTCATGGGGCCAGCTGTGAGGATTTTTGTTTCCTTTCTGTTGAGCTGTAATCCACACTGAAGGGTGCATGAAGGTAAAACCATGCAAATAAGATGTATGGAAACTTCGTAAGGGGATTGGTCCATTTTGCTATCCTGCTAAGCTTGAAATGAGCTATCCCAAAGGCAGAAAGGGGGGGCCTCACTACCAGCAAGAAAGAAAAACTCGGAGTGCGGTGTGTCCCTCAGACCCAGGACAGGGAGCTGCAGCACCACAGATGGGCCAAGATGAGCAGCAGCATCGGACAGCGGTGGCAGCAGAGACAGCAGGACCAGACACTGGCAGGGACAGCGGGGCGAGCTCACGGGCCCACAGAGCGGGAAAGCGAAGCGCCTCTGCACAGAAGACCGGCCAGCACGGTGTGCTGCCTCCGGGCTCTTGATGGTGCCAGGCTTTCCCAAGGAGCTAAAGAGATGAGTGAGTGCCTTTCAGCTGAGGACTGCAGGTGGAGTGGGGTGCCCCAGGGCACTTACTTGCAGGTTAAAAATCTTTGTAACCCTTGCCTAGGAGGACAGAGGCCAGGCCAGCCCCCCAGAGGCCCAAGGGAACAAGAAACTAGGGCCTAGGGTCTTTCTGATCCTGAACTATAACCTGTTACTTCCCGCTGGAGTCATTTCTTTTAGAAGGATCAGCACAAGTCTGGTTCCTATGAGGCAGAGGTTAAAGCTGTCCCCAGTGTCCAGCTTTTGCAAGGTGTCGTGTCACCCCATCATCTCCGACATCAAATCCTTCTCTCCTCAGTACTCCGCCTCCTGCCTTAGGGTTCAGTATTTGGCTGTAACATCTCACAGAACTCACAGACTTCCAAGAAAACGGGTCACGTGGTGGTGGAATGGAGGCTGAGAGGCTGGCGGGCTGGCGAGTCCCAGGTCTGTGGGTTGGCCTGGAGGATTCCCCCAACTCACGTGGTTGCAGGGGCTGGTGAACCCCAATGTGCAGGTCAGATGACGGCTGCTGTTTCAAGTCCGGGCGGGGGTGAGATGATGAGCAACCAAATACAGGACCAGAGCAAGAGAGTGGATTTTTCAGAACATTTCTATCTGCACCCTCAAGGAAGCTAACGGTAGTGCCTTCAGTCACACCCTCCAGCAAGGCGAGACTCAAGATACAGCCCACCCGAAACAGGCACACCAAAAAAACCAAACTCCCCGCCACAGAGTCGATTCCACTCACAGCCACCCTCCTTGGGTTTCCGAGGCGATATCCCTGCGAAAGTAGATCGCCCAGTCTTCCATCAGAAAATGGAGGTCAATGGGTGGAGCAATTCACAGCACAGTACTTCCCTAATAAAACCCCGTAACTGTGAGTAGCGTCTATGAGTGCTGTGTGGTCACTGCAACAGACGATCAAACCCAGCAAAGAAGAGTAGCATGGGTGGGACAGCTGGTGTCAGAATGGGTACGAATGTGGGACAGTGGTGGTATGTCTGACCTCTGCCTGATAGGACCCAGCACCGGGCTGCTCATCTCGATTCTCCTTCCCCTTGTGAAGTTAGAGGAGGTCGGACACCTCCTCCGCCAGGTCATTTCTAGAGAGACAAAGGGCCCAGGGTTCCGGATGAAGTCACTGAGTTGCTGAGCCGGCCTGAAACTGCCCACCTCCATCCTTCTTAGTGGCTTGCAGCTAAAAGCATCCTCATTGACAAGCCCTTTAAATTCATGCTGAGGAGCCCAGCTGGGGTGGGTGGGGTGACATCACTCTGGACAGAGCAGCAGCAAGCCCAACCCTTCAGCGGTAGCGGATCTCATGTGGTCGGTCAATAAACGTTTATGGATCGCCTGCTGTGTGGTGATAATGACGTGGGCCCTGTCTTCACGGAACTGTCAGTTTAGAGAGGAAGTCAAAGGCACGTATGAGAGGTGGGAGGTTTAGGGACTCAGGCACCCAACTCATGACCAAGGAGGGAGCTAAGGAAGGGTCTCCTGAGATGGCAGTGGTTACGCTTAGACTTGAGAAATGAATGATATGGGGTGAAGAGCCATGTTCCGGGCAGAGTGAACTCCAGGCACAAGGATGGTCCATAGAGTTTTCAAGAACTGATTTTTTAGAAGCCCACCACCAGGCCTGTCTTCCGCAGTGCCTCTCTGCAGACTTGAACCGCCAACCTTTTGCCTAACTGCTGAGAACATCAGCCATTTGCACTGGCCAAGGGACTCTGTCTCCTAGAGAGGTAGGTACAAAAAAGACCCTCAGAGATTGTTACAGAGACAGGGGTTCGGAAGAAGACACACCGAGGGCCTCTCCCACTCCCAGTCCTCCTTCTGTGATCATTTCTCTTCCCTCAGGCTCAGCATTCCTGGACAAGTCAGCCTGAGGCAAAATTAAGTACCACAGAGTCACAGAACAGAAACATCGAGAGGTCCATTTTGGACATGTTAAGTCTGAGAGGCCAGCTGACATCCAAGTGAAGGTGTCAGTAGGGAGTTGAATGTCAAGTCTGGAGTTCTCGGAGAGGCCAGGGTGGAGGTAAGACATCTGGGAATTATCCGAACGTCAATGTTTGAAGCCATCAAAACCAAAAAACCAAACTCACAGCCGTTGAGTTGGTTCCAACTCCTAGTGACCCCCTCTTTGAGTTTCTGAGGTGGTATCTCCACGAAGTAGATTGGCCAGTTTTCCCTCCAAGGAGTGGCTGGTGGGTTTGAACCACCAGCCTTCAGGTGAGCAGTCAAATGCCTTAGGCGCTACGCCACCAGAGCTCCTACTTAAAGCTATTAAGAGTGGATAAAATCACAATGAAGAGAAATTCGGGCAGAGAAGAAGTCTGAGGATGAAGCCTTGGGACACCCTGACATTCAGAAGCTGTGGAGAGAATTTCTGGGTTTGCACTTCACTGCTGACCTAACGCCTGGCGGTTCAAGCCCACCCCAGAGCACCATGGAAGAAAGGCCTGGTGATCTGTTGCCATTAAGATTACAGCCAAGAGAACTCCACGGAGCAGCTCTACTCTGTAACACGTGGGGTCAGCAACACTCTGAATCGACTCGATTCACACACACACACACTGGAGTAGCAGGAGGAGAGAGTACTGGGAGCAGAGAGGCCAACAGACCCAACCACACGCCTGAGAAGGTCGCGGTGAGGAGTTTGCGTAACATCTGAGGGACAACGGGCAGCCATGGAAGGGTTTAAAGAGAGCAGGCACAGAATCCGAGCAGCTTTAAGATGAAGACTCTGGAAGCCAGATGAAGCATGACCTTAAGGAGGGAAAAGTGGGTGAACAAAGAACATGGCCGGGCCTCCCCCTCAACTCCCAGAAACACGGCAGGTCCTGTCCTCCTTCTGCAGAGTCAGTATGACCTGCCTGCTTTGAGGTTGTGCAAACCACCCTACTAGGGTGGCAGGAGTCTCTCCCAGCCCCGGAGTCACGTCTCCTTGGGTGCACAATACACATGGAATCTTTTATGGGGAGAGAGGGAGAGAAGAAGTCCCGTTTTGTGCTCCGACCTTCCATTACAGCAAGACAGGAAGTTCCTGCCCGCTGCTGGGTGTGAAACAGGAAGTCCTGCCCAAAAACGCCGTGTGCAGTGTAGGCCACCAGCCCGCTCACACCTGTGTGGCGGCACGCACGTTCCTGGGGACACCACCAGGAGAGGTGACGGGATCGGGGCCTGAGGTCTGGAAGAAAGAGGAGGGAGGACGTCAGGAGTCGCCCTGGATGTGACATGGCTCACCCACCTAAACTCTCTGACTCCCTTGCTCACCATTTCAGAAATTATCTGGTCTCTCTCCATTTGGAAGGGGAAAAATAAGTGGCTGGCCACCCTTGGGGGAGATAAGGCATTCAACCACCCAACTTTATGGGCAAAGTGGAAGTTCCATCCTACTTCAGGGATAAAATGAAAGTCACCTCCAATTTTTATGGGGGAGGGGAGGTGCCATCCCATCCC